AACAACAGTTACAGGTAAGTATTAACCGTTCTTTTCTTCGAGTGGTTGCTCATGTCCATTCGAAGTAGGTGACTACCAAGCTAACCCCAAGGAGGAGGGGTCGGAACAGTCATAGCACCAGAGTCATAAAGGAAGGTGAATAACAGATTTATTTGAACCAATAAACAGTGACAAGTCACCAACCCAGAACAAAGACAACCAGATCTATATATTTACATCACAGATTTGAGGACTGCAGAGCCCATCCTTGCATCCTCCCTGGCCTGTTGAGGTAGCGCATAATGTGTTGCAAACGTGTGGAGGGAAGACCAGGTGGCTGCCCTGTAAATGTCTGTGATAGGTACTTGGTCACCAAAGGCTACTGAGGACACCTGTGCCCTGGTAGAGTGTGCCTTCACCCTGGGTGGGGTTTTACCAGTCAGTTGATAACACTCTGCTATACATTACACCACCCATCTGGATAACCTTTGCGTAGAAATAGGTGAACCTTTTCCCTTATCCCCAAATGCAACAAACAATTGTTGGGATTTACAGAAGGGCTTGGTTCGGTCAATATAAAAAGCCAGCGCTCGCTTGGCATCCAAGGAGTGTAGAACACGCTCCTTAAGGGATGCATGTGGTTTAGGGAAGAACACCGGTAAATAAATCTCCTGAGATAGGTGAAAAGGAGAAACCACCTTCGGAAGGAAGGTCGGATGAGTCCGTAGCCTCACGTTATCATGTGAAAAAACAAGGTAGGGCGGCTCTATAGTCAGCGCCCTTAACTCTGATACCCTTCTAACAGATGTAATGGCTACTATGAAAGGTGCTTCAATGAGCATGTAGCCAGAGGCTCGAAAGGAGGGGACATGAGCCTGTGAAGGACCAGGTTGAGGTTCCAGGCAGGGTATGGAGCCCTCACTGAGGGGTACAATTTCTCCAACCCAGTACGAAACCTTTTAACCACCTGGTTAGAAAAAAGAGAGGTTCCTGCCATACCAACATGGAAGGCGGGGGGAGATGCCACATGGACTTTAATAGAGGAAAAGGACAGGCCAGAAGAACGGAGTTGAAAGAGATAGTCGAGAATAGTTGGAATAGGGGCCGAGGACAGTTGTACTCCTCTCCAGGATGCCCAAGACGAGAAGCGCCACCACTTGGCAGCGTACTACTGTCTAGTAGAGGGCTTCCTGCTGCTAAGGAGCACCATCTGTACCTGTCGGGAATATTCCCTTTCTGGTTGGTTCAACCACGGATAAACCAGGCCGTTAGATGAAGACCGGAGATCCGGGTGAACCATTACCCCCGTCCTAAGGTTGGATTAGCAGATCCTGAACTGGAGGGAGTGCTATAGGGTCTTGGGTCAGCATGTCCACCAGGTTGGGATGGGGAACCAGAACTGCCTGGGCCACGAGGATGATCAAGGACCTGAAAGTTCTTGCTCTGGTCAAAACCCTGGAAACTAGTGGAAATGGGGGAAAAGCATAGAGAATGCCCTTTGGCCACACGGTCATCAGGGCACCCCCCAGGGAATATTCCCCCAGCCCCAGCAGGGAACAGTAGTTCCTGCACTTCGCATTGCGTGCCGAGGCAAACAGGTCTAGGTGGGGATAGCCCAACCTGCGGAAAACCTGGCTGAGGACAGAGTCCTTGAGCGACCACTCATGGGCTCCAAAGGATCTGCTCAGTGTGTCTGCAAGTAGGTTTTTGCACCCGGGGAGGTACTCCGCCTGAGGCGTGATATTGTGGGTGACACACAGATGCCATAGATGCAGGGCCTCCTTGCATAGGGGTGGCGAACGCGCCCCACCCTGCTTGTTGAGGTAGAAAACCGCTGCAGTGTTGTCCATACGTACCAGGATGGAGCGGTGGGAGAGCCTCGGCAGAAATGCTTCGCAGGCCCTCCTCACCGCCCACAGTTCCCGGATGTTGATGTGTAGAGACTGTTCGGAAGGGGACCAGAAGCCCTGAGTTCTGTGGCACCCGAGGTGTGCACCCCATCCCAGGTCGGACGCATCGGTGACTAGCGTCAGTGAGGGGGGAGGGACGTTGAAGGGAACCCCGCTGCGCACCACGGATTCCTGGGTTCACCAGAGTAGGGAGTCCACAATGTCCGGGGGCACTGTGACTATGGAGTCCCATAGACCCTTGGACTGGCAGAAGGCCTTCGCCAACCACGCCTGCAGAGGTCTCATCCTCATCCTGGCATGCCGCACCGTGTAAGTGCATGCCGCCATATGTCCCAGGGGCCTGGAGCAGACCCGAGGAGTCATGATGGGGAACCGGGTTAGTTCTGAAATCAGCTCCACTATGGAGAGGAACCTGCTGTGGGGCAGGAATGCTCTTGCCACCTTCGCATTGAGGAGGGCTCTCACAAACTCTTTGCTCTGGGAGGGGGTCAGGGATGACTTCTTGATATTTATCATGAGCAGAGAGCTGAGGAAGAGAGCTCTTATGAGTGGTACGTGAGCTTCTACCTGCTCATACGAGCGACCTCGGATTAGCCAATCGTCGAGGTACGGGAACGCGTGTACCCCTCGATTGCGCAGAAAGGCGGCAACCACAGCCATACGTTTTGTGAATACCCTTTGTGCAGTACATAACCCAAGGGGAGTACCGTGAACTGAAAATGATAATGGCCCACCATAAACCGGAGGAACCTCCCGTGACCGGGCCTGATAGCCTCATGGAAGTAGGCGTCCTTTAGATCGAGAGTCGCGTACCAGTCGCCCATTTGTAGCACTGGGATGACCGAGGCTAAAGTCACCATTCTGAACTTGTGTTTTACCACCGCCTTGTTTAAGTATGGAAGGTCCAGGATAGGACAAACTCCCCCTTTTGGTTTTGGGACGACAAAATAACACGAGTAGAACCCCTTGCCCCGCAGATGCGAGGGAACCCTTTCTATTGCTCCTTTTTCGAGGAGTGCTCCCACTTCCTGAAATAGGATGTGTTCGTGAGGGGTGTCCCTTATTCGGGACAGGGTAGGGGGTTTTGAAGGTGGTGGGCCCAGGAACGGGATAGAACAGCCCGTATGTACAATGTTCAGGACCCAGGCATCTGATGTTATTCGGGCCCATGCCTGGGCAAAACGGGAAAGCCGGGCCCCAAACGGGGGGCCAGGGTGGCAGACTGGTATGGGACTCTCGACACCACGTCAAAATTGAGGCTTGCCCTGATTGGAAGGGCCGTGGGGCCCTGCCCACTAGGGATCTGACCTGGGACAACGACGTCAACCCCTACGCCCTTGAGGGTGCGCGGCTACCCCGGCACCTCCACCAGAGGCCCAGGAGCGGCGCCTCCAGAAATCCCCACGGGGGACCTAGGGCTGCGCTCTACCCTGCTGCCTATACGGCAGTTGTCGCTGCTGCGTGGCTGGCGTATGTATGCCTAAGGACTTCAAAGTTGACCTAGTGTCCTTTAGGGTATGGAGCCTGGAATCTGCGTGCTCCGAAAACAAGGCCTTCCCTTCAAAGGGCAAGTCCTGTATGGTATGCTGCACGTCCGAGGGAATCCCCAAGACGTGGAGCCACACTCCACGGCGCATAACAATACCCGGCGCCATAGTGCGGGCTGCCGAGTCCACGGTGTCCAAAGCCGCTTGGAGGGCAGTTCGAGTAATGACTTTACCCTCGGAAGCCATAGCTGCAAACTCCTGGCGGTCCTGTATCGGGAGTCGGTCTCTAAATTTTTCGACCACCTGCCAGGTGTTGAAAGAATACCTGCTCAACATTGCCTGTTGGTTAGCGATACGGAGCTGCAGAACACCCGTAGCGTAGACCTTGCGGCCCAACAGGTCCAGCTTCTTAGGCTCCCTTGCCTTCGGCGAAGGCCCAAGCTGGGGAAGCCTTTCTTTTTGGGCCGCGGCCTGTACGACCAATGATCCCGGGATGGGATCCAACTGCGTGACGAAATAACGCCTCTCTACCCCTTTTTGGGTAGGAGTCAGAGTTGCTGGCGTTTGCCACAGGGCATTAGTAATTTTTGACACAGTTTTATTGAGCGGTAGAGCAAAGCGCGCAGGGGTGTCCTCTGTGAGGATGTCTACCATTGGATCGGTATCCTCAATTATGGGCTCAACCGGGACAGCCAGGTTGGAAGCCATGCGCCGCAGGAGGTCCTGATGTGCTCTGGCATCCATCGATGGTAGCCCAGGCGCTGGGTCTGCCAGTGCCTCATCGGGGGAGGATGACGACGACAACTCTTGAATCAACAGGGGAGCGGTCGTGACCAACTGAGGAGCCGGTTGAACGGTCTGAGCTTCCGGAGAGCCTGTCTCCAGTAGCGGTGGCTGTGGTGCCACAGGATCCTGTTGCAGCACTCGAAGGGGGGAGGGGGGGCGCCCTAGACAGGGACGCAGAGGGGCGGGAACGGTGCCCTGAAGCCTCCGACCCCATAGATGGTGGTGGTTGTCCCTGCCACTGATGATAGGCCCAGGGAGTCCAAAAGGGCCACTGCGGATGAGGGGGCCACATCTGCTGGTTGTGGTCCCTCTGGTGCCTGGATCTGGATCTGTGGGTCGAAGAAGCTCCTGAAGACCCCAATCGCACCGACACCGCGTCCGAGTCTGACTCAGGCCGGGGGGGGCTGACGAGGAATACAGTGCAAACTTGGCCATTGACTCCAGCTTGCCCGCGTGGGCGCGGCGAGGACGTGCCGTCTGAGGTACCCGGGGACCCATGTCCGGTGCCGTAAGGGCCGCTGATAACTGCGGCACTGGGAGACCCAGACCCGGTGCGGCGAACTCCGCTGAAGCAGTCAACTGTGGTACCGGGGTGCCCAGGCCCGGTGCCGGCTGCCCCGTCAGAAACTGTGGCACCGGGGTTCCCAAGCCCAGTGCCATTTGCGATGTCATTTGTAGCACCGAGGTGCTCAGGCTCGGTGCCAGCTGCACCATTTGTGGCACCGGGGTGCCTAGGCCCGGTGCCGAGTGCGTCGCCAGTAACTGCGGCACCAAAGTGCTCAGGCTCGGTGTCAGTTGCGATGCTAGGAGTTGCGGCACCGGGGTGTCCAGGCCCAGTGTTGGTTGCGACGCCAGCAGATGCGGCGCCGGGGTGCCCATGCCTGGTGCCGATTGCATCGTCTGGAGTTGGGGCACCGGGGTGCTCAGGATCGTGCCCAACTGGAGCGGTACTGGGGTGCCCAGGCCCGGTACCGGGGTCGGCCACTGGGTCGATGCCGGTGCCGATGATGGCATGGAGATGGATGTCAACTGGAAGGCCACATAGCCCTGGGAGTATGGCACCAGTACAGCCAAGCAGGGCTCTGGCAACTTGGAGAGCAATGACGTGCCATGGCTCGAAGCTCCCTGGAAATGACGACCCGGCGTCATGAAGGGGACCATAGTAGAAGCGGGAGCCGACCCCACCGGGGTTGGTCCCGATGCATACGCCACTGTAGCATGCCGAGTCTGGTCATGCAAGGGCGATGGCAGTGCCCTGCGGGCTTGCACCGTGGGTTACCTCGACCCGTCCGAGTCAACCGACGATGGCAGGGAGGTCATAAGGCTGATTAGGTCCTGCGCCGCTTCAAAGGTGTCCGGCGTAGACGGGCGATGAGAGGGCAGGCGACCAGGGCTCACCAGACCCCCCTCAGTGCCAACGGTGCACCGGAGGGGAAACACGCACCGGTGAGCTGCCGGTGCGGTGTCCAGCCGACGTCAGCTTCTTAGACGGAGACCTGCCCTGGGACTTCTTCACCTTCTTAGATGGTGGAGAGTGAGACCGGTGCCGGGATCTTGACGTCGATGCAACCAGTGCTCACTAGACCCCCTCGGTGCCAACGGTGCACCGGAGGGGAAACACGCACCGGTGAGCTGCCGGTGCGGTGTCCAGCCGACGTCAGCTTCTTAGACGGAGACCTGCCCTGGGACTTCTTCACCTTCTTAGATGGTGGAGAGTGAGACCGGTGCCGGGATCTTGACGTCGATGCCCGGTGCCGGTGTGTGGCCTCGCGCATAGAGGCCAGTGCGTTGTGCACCGCAGGCTGGTCCGGCGGTGCCGGTTGAAGCGCCGTCTCCATGAGGAGAAGCTTCAAGCGGGAAACTCTGTCTTTTCTCGTACGAGGCTTGAAAGACTTGCAGATTTTGCAGGCAATTGCCAATGTGGGTCACCCCTGGGCATAAACTTCCGGCAGTCAGAGCACGCCTTGAAGCCTTGCAGCCCTGGCATTCCTTACCCCCAAGGGGGGAAGGAACAAAAAACCTAACTAACTAACTACATAACTATTTACAATGTGAGAAACAGGAACCATTAACTATCTAAGCCTAACAGCTAGAGAGAGAGCGAGAGAGACGCTCCAACGACCGACAAGGCGATAAGAAGGAACTCAGGTGGGGCAGCGCCGGCAGGGGTACTTATGCCCTGCCATGGCGGCGCCACTCCAGGGGGCGCCCCGCCGGAGCTACGGGTACAGCTAGGGAAAACGCTCCGGAAGACGTGGTGCATGCGGCGCGCACACCTACTTCGAATGGACATGAGCAACCACTTGAAGAACAGTTATTAGTAAGCTACTACAATATCGTTCTATGAAACCAGAGAGAGGAGTAAGATACAGAGCTGATTACAAGTACCTTCAAAGATTCAGTGGAAAACATAATCATTTAGTATTCACTGGCTAGCACTAGAATAAAGCTTACTTACAGACTTGTGTCTCCTCTTTTTGTTTTTCTTCTTGTGTTTTTTTGACTTCTTGTAACTTCTCTCTACAATACATGGTAAAGTAAGTAAGTGCCAACAAAACATTAAGACACAACACTATCATGACAAAACTTGGTTTTACCAGAGGAAATACCTTACCAGATTCTGCACTGGAAGAACGATCAGAAACTGATCTAGATTCTGAGCGTTGCCTCTTCTTCTTTGAATGGCTATCATCATCATCAGATTCTGAGCCCTTTGAATAGAATAGTTTGAGTTCAATATTAGTCTTGCAAGACGCAGTGTTGCAAACATTTTTCATGTATTGTTCTAAGAAAGGTCTTACCGAACGGGAGCGAGACCGTTTTCTGTGATGCTTTTTAGACTTTTTAGAATGTTTCTTGTTCTTTGAATGATGATGTTGACACTCGTGCTACAGTATAAAATAATCCAAACAATAATTGTTGTAAAGGATGTAATGTAACATCTGTTTGCAACCTAATATACATTACATTAAAAAAAATTAAATATAAAGAACTGCCATTAGCACAACGTTAAAGTTGTAAATTCAAGTATTAAAAAAAAGTTGGAATCACTTAGCACTTTGAGGATGGGATGACCAAAAACAACTTAAGTTTTCCATTATGCATGTTTAGTCTTGCATTTTTTTTAAAAACATTACTAATTTTAATGCCTTTCTTCCAAATTTGGCCAAGCTCATAAAAACCTACTTTATGCCAAATTTGAAGTTTCAAAATTATTGTTTTTAAAATCTCAATCAAATTTTAATATAACAAGGTGCAGTTTACATTAAAAGCTACATTAGCCTGATTAGTCACCTGTAGCTCGGGCAGACATATTTGAAGGGGTTACCCACAAACTTCCTAAAAATATTCGTGTACGTACATACGCATGCACACTCTCAGTAAATTTTAGCCCAAAAGGTAATTTTTTCAGAATGTTGTGTATGAAGAGGGAGTTAAATGAAAACTGCTCAATCTCAAATAAACAATAAAACACATGCAAAGAGCTTAACCATAATACACTTCACTACTTTCAGACTCCGGCTTCACAAAATAAGATATCAGTACATTTTTTGAAAGCTTTTTTCTTACCAAAAATGCTACAAAAATTTTAAAAATTACCTCTAGCACATGTATGAAGTCTTTAAAGATTCTTTTTCTTTCAGATTCTAAAGTGATGTCTTCAAATGCTGGTTCCTTCACAAATCTATCTCTGATCTATACGAAAAGGAATAATTCAATGTAATATTACTACAAAAACTCACTCTAAGTTTAACAATTATGCAACACAAACATGAGTTCATAAATAGAAAAATATATTTTACTGCTACGGAGTGAGTTTACCCTTATGCTTCACTAAGTTCATGTATACAATGTGTTCCACACTTCCAAATGTCCAAAGATTAAGATTGTTACATTCAGATACCCAGGGCTCAACAAATCCACTCGCCTGCTCGCCCATGGCAAGTAGATTTTACCAGCTGGCGAGTGCAGGGGTGGTCTGGCCCGGTGGGCCGTTGTGACAGGCTGGCCAAAGCCCACACTACGGGTGGCGCGGCCCCATCCAATCCGCCGGCTGGTGGAGGAGCAGAGCACCGCCGGGAAGGGGGAAGTGTGGCGATTCTCAGCGCCGTGCTGCCTGTGTTCAGCTCCAGCGTGAGGAGGTGGGGTGTGAGCCAGAGGGCGGGATGCCGGCAGACGCCAGGATGCTGGCGTGACATGGTGTCCTGACAGCACAGCTGGCGACCGCCGGATTCAAAAAGGTTCCGGCAACCCCGCAAAGTGGAAGGCAGAATCCAGGTAGGGGAGGGGCAGAGGCTGTGCTGAAGGGCAGGGAAGGGGAAAAATATGGGGAAGGGGCTTGTGCTGAGGGTAGGGGAGGAAGTGAGGAGAAGAAGAAGAAGAAAAAGAAAGGGGAAGGCACTAAGGGACAGGGGTGCAGGAGAGACAAACGCCAGGAGGCCAGGTGCAGACAATGAGGAAAAGGGAAGGAGGGGAGGTGTCAGTGAGAGGGGGGGGACAGGGTGATGCTGGGAGAATACAGGGTTAAGGGCATTGGAGGCTAAAGGGAGGAGGGGGAGGTGCTAGGAGAAGGCTTGAAAGAAGGGGTGAGCATGAGGAAGACGGGGATGGAGCAAGGCATGTGCGAGGCCACAGGGGTATGAGGGGAACGGGCAGAAGGTGGTGAGGGGGTGGGTATCAGGGAAAAACAGGGCGGCAGGGGCAGTGAGGGAAGGGGGAGGCACCAGGACAGTGCAGGTGCCAGGGGATTCTGGGGGTGAAGCAGAAGAGCAGAACCCTGCGGGGGGGGAGGGGAAGGACAGGGCAGGTGTGTAGAGGGCGACGTTAGGAGAAGGGATGAGGAGGGGTAGCTCATGATCAGAGTGGGGCTACTGGAGGAGTGGGCACAGGGGGGAGAGAAGGGAGGGTCTCAGGAAGGCTGAGGGCACTGAGAAGGGCAGAAGTCGGACAGCAGAGGAGAGTGAGGGGTTGGGGGGCAGCAGGCACCAGGGGAGCTGATGGAGAAAGTAGAGGAGACATGGCAGCAGAGGGAAAAGATAGAGGTTTATAAGATAAGTTATTCATAAATATCACCCAAATTATTAATGAATATTAGTAATTACTGTTCTTATTCTTATTAGGAATTTATGCCATTAAAAAAAACACGGGGGGGAGGGGGGCAACGGGTCCCTTTTGTGTCTGGTGAGGAGGGTTTTCCATAATTTGTCGAGCCCTGCAGATACCTACCTATGTTTCTTCTATAAGGTTTAGACCAGTGGTCACCAACCAGTAGATCAGGATCTACTGGTAAAGTCTGAAGCCTCTAACAGGTGATCCTGACTGGTTTAACAAGGAAGCTATCAAGTACTGGTACTTCAGTTGCCCCTCCACACATTGTCTGCCACTCCTGCCCTCTGCCTTAAGCTGCCCCCCGGGAGCTTCCTGTTTGCTGTGCAGGTGTGAGATAGAAAAGAGAGGGGTGCTGATGTCAGGGTGTCCCTTCCCCCCCCCCCACTTCTGTAACCGATCTCCACGCAGAGATGGATATTGAAGGAACTTAGCAATGCAAATCTGTCACACACTGTGGCTGCGTCTAGACTGGCAAGTTTTTCCGCAAAAGCAGCTGCTTTTGCAGAAAAACTTGCCAGCTGTCTACACTGGCCGCTTGAATTTCCACAAGAACACTGATGATCTCATGTAAGATTGTCAGTGTTCTTGCGGAAATACTATGCTGCTCCCATTCAGGCAAAAGCCCTCTTGCGCAAGAGGGCCAGTGTAGACAACGCGGTATTGTTTTGCACAAAAAAGCCCCCATCGCAAAAATGGCAAACCCTGACTCAGCCCTCAACCTCTTCCTATATCCAACCTCCTGCCCCAGATAAGAGTCCCCCTGCACCCAAACTCCTTCCCAGAGCTCAACCCCAATCCCCTTCCTCCCCCCCCGGCTAAGCTCCCAGAGCCCCTCCCACTCTCCAAACTCCTTGGCTCAAGACCAGAGTCTGCACCCCAATCCCCTACCCCAGCCGGGTGAAAGTGAGTGAGGGTGGGGGAGGAATGAGCAGGGTGAGCAGCAGGGTGAGGCCTCGGAGAAGGGGTGGAGCCTAAGAGAAGGGACAAGAAGGAAATGGGGCAAAGGTGTTTGAGTTTAAGGTAGATATATTGTACTTAAATTGAAAAAGTGAGCTTGTGGCTCAAAAGGTTGGAGACTACTGGTTTAGACTCATTCTTTGTAAATGGCTACCTGTCAGTGAATATCTTTAACAGTTCAATTCTGCTATGGTTAAAATAGTGCTCTGACTCCACTTAAAACTTAAGCACACACATACACATATGCACAAAGTCAGCTGAACACCTTAAAACAGTTAATACTGTTTTCCTACATTTTCTTTACAGACATTCCATGTGCGAAACAGCAGCTTTCTTCTTTTAGTCTTGCTATTATAGTCAACAATTTAACAAGTTATGATTTGTAACATCACTATTAACTTAAAACACTTATACAGCAGATTGTGATTTCACTGCATGAATCCAGATGTGAAGGACAAAGAAACTTTACCTAAAGTGACAAATATATTAATTATAGAAGAACAATGGACAGCAGAGGAAAAGCAATGATATTAAATGATGTTTTAAGGAAAATATTTTGAAGTTTTCCATATTCTTGCAATGTAGCCAAAATGTAGCTTTATGTAATCTCATGTGCCTCAGTGTATCCTGCCAGCCACCCTTTCTGAAAGCAGAAAGGAGCTTTACTTTACCATTGGTAAAGGTGCACCAGCCAGAATAGTGTCCTGAATCTGATTTCAAGGCAGGAATAAGTTTTAAAATTAGTACTGTGAAGTAAGTAAAACGCAATGATAGTTCTTCTTAAAATTGTAACTTGATGTCCCTGTTCAAATATACATATTGCTCCTGTGTAACAAAGAAATCGATCCTGTTTAGTGTGAATGAAGAATGTGTTACAAAATAAGAGGGAAGGCCGTCACCAGAGCACATGTTCTAGGGAGAAGCTGAGGACAGACATAAAAGCACATGGAGATTGCTGTACTCCCCTATCAAGATGGTGAATGGAGAGCAGATTGACAACTGTAAGAGATAAGGCAAGTACCTATCAATTGGGACAAGATAGCTATGGTATGAGAATAACTGAAGAAAACAAGCACTCATCAAACAGCAATTGATTACAACATAATGGCGTGAAACTTACTGTTCCAAGGAAGGAAAGCTGCTATAAAAAGGTACTCTTTGCCATAATTTTCAGGTTCATCCTCCCACTGGAGCCTGGTCCGGACCTACAGAACCTCCCCTTGTACTTCGCCTGCTTGGCCACCAGACTAATATACGAGCAGCAGACTGATAACTATAACCTATACTGGCAGGACGTGTGTGTCTGTGTCTGTCTGTCTCAGCATTTGCTAGCTGTTCTTCTACTGTGTTGTTAGTAATGTGGCATATTGCCTTTTCCCCTATAAAGATCCCACATGCTGCTTATAAGTATAACAGCAATAGTGCTTCAAACTTAGCTAAACAATTGATGATGATTTCTTGTGATGCACCCAGATGTCACATCCATGTATGCACTAAAAAACAACTGTTACAAGTTGCCTACATAAAGTAACAATGCTAAATACAACTTGGAGTGAATTTTTACAACTAATTCTCAGTTAAAGATTATGCATTTTTGCTTATATGACATCTCAAGCAAGATTTCAAAAGGCAAGAGTGCAAAATTGTTGGGAATTTTTAGAGAATGTGTGTGTTCCTATCAACATATTAGGCTAAGTTATATAGTTACCATGTACGTGCAGTTCACACTGGTTTCAAAAGAGCTGTCCTTTTAGCCACACATCTAAGACCAATTACATTAGTATTCTGATCACACATGCTCTAAAACTGAAGAGCAATGAAACTTCAAATAATACATTGTGAGCCATAATAGAAGATTTATGTTGCTTAGGTCCTTAAATAAGTTTTGTTTTCCTTCATTTAAATCGTTGCACTGAGGTGGTGCGGAGTATTAGGGGGATCAGTATGCAGGCTGCTACAGGAAGAGAGGACTACCCCAGCCATCTCTCACTACTGCAGCAGCGAGGGGCCAGGTGAGAATCTCCTCCATGGCTGCTGCTGCAGGGGAGACAACTGGGGAGAGAAAATATATATACCATGGTGTCCAACCAGTTCTGAAACAGTAGCAAACTCAACCAGCCAAATACCCATGAGTGACTAGCATGTTGGATACAATGGATATAGTACAGAGCTGTCCCTTTCTCCACCTCTGCTCCCTGCTGGTTCTGGGTTTATAGCTGTCCCAGTCCTCATTTCTGACTCCTTCCTGCTCCCCTGCAGTAAAACTATAGTATAAATGCCAGACTACTTGCTTTCCATTTTATGAGAAAATCCAATTCCCGGTACATCCCAAACCCCTATTTTGCTTTAAGTTATGATGAGAGGAAACTGCAAATTTGGTGGTCCCAGCTCTAATCATTTAGGAGGATTTTTTGAACAAACGGATTCACAAACTGACAGGACAGACAGATGCATAGTTCTAAAATATATAGCGAAAATTACATTTACAGCCTACTTGTACTTATATATATTTAAGGAATTTTAATAACAATTTAATAATCAAATAAGTGTATATTAAAAGTATGAAATGTCTGCATTAAATGCGTATGTAATAGATTAAGATGTTGGAAGAAATAAAACAAGAGATTACCATTTGACCCAAAGTGTTTCACCCAACTGCATTCACATTTCTCCTAAATTTTAACTTCAAAACTTTGGGCACTGTATAAACCTCACGAATATTTTCATTACAATATTTACAAATTTCTTTAAAAGTATGAATGTTCACTATATAGCTACGGTTAAAATAGATGTTGGACTTTACCGGAAAGCAACCTAACTGACAATACATACCTCTTCCCAAACAGCATCCATTTCAATTGGGGGTGTAGCTTGTTTCAACATACTCTTGAATGCAGACTCTTTCCGCTTCATTTTGCGAGCCTCTTCTTTCTCCCGCTCACGTTCACGGGCCTCTGCCTTTTCCAGCAACTACACAAAGTCAGTCATTAAATCATTCAATTGACACAAGTAATGAAGAATGATAATTAGGTATCATGTAGTTTTGCCAAAAATTTTGCCTCAAGGTATTTCAACTTAGTTTTATATTTGTTCTTTTCTCAAAATCCTAAATAAAGTCCATGTCAGATCCAAAGTGATTGTTACAACCTGCCAATGTTGAATGTAAGTTCATTAGGAAGCAGCAGTTTACAAATGCAAAGACACTGCTGAATTCCTACTCTGTAGTTGGAATGCATTACTTAGATTTTGAACAATAACTCTGCCTCTACAATCTAAATTCTTGAAACTGGCAATTTGAAAATCATCATCTTAACAGTATATTTTACACACTAAATTTATCAACATACACCTAAACAGTTGCAGAGAAAAAAAAAAGAGCATTTCAGTTTCTGAAGGCAAGCATACTTTACTGCAGTATATGGATGCAGCTGTGTTGCTGTAGCATGTATGGTGAAGATGCACTATACTGACAGTAGAGCATTCTTCCGTCACACAATTACTCCAGCTCCATAAGAAGCAGAAGCTATGTTAGCAGGAGAGCATCTCTTCCACCAACATAGCATGGTGTGGTTGCTGTAACTTACATCACTGAGGGGGTAGCTTTTTCAATACCCCTAGGTGAAATAAGTTACATCAATTTAATAGGTAGTGTAAACAAGCCCTGATTAAAAAAACTTGTTTTATCAAATTTTCTTAATACAACATAAGGGAAAGTTAAAACTTACACTATTGAAAGCCAGTTTGATATTTCCAGCATCTAAAGTGGTAGCTCTTTTAGTTGAACTGATGACCGTAACAAAGTCTTCAAAAGTAGTATTCACTTCAACCACAAATCCTTTATCCTGCAAGAGAGTTACCTTCTTGGCACCAGATGGGTCAGGAACTCTCACATTAGCGCTAATGAACAGTGCATTAGCACAACGTGTAATCCCATCTCCCAGAGAGTCAAAAAGTTACATGTTTAGTTTAATGAATATTATTGATACATTGGTCCCTGTGACTAGTGAAAGCACATATTTCCTCACCTTTAAGATGTCTTTTATTATCTTCTTTTCATCATGGTAACGTGCTTTCAAATCTTCAACATAAAACTTGAAAAGATCAAGTGCGGTTGATCCTAATGAAAAAACTAGAGAAGTCAAAAGCTAGCTCTAACCAAAGAGCTGCACTTTTTAAAAATAAAGTTAGAAAATAAACATCACACTTCTATTTTTCCCCATCACACTTCTATTTTTCTACAGTCTCTGTACCTGTATCACCTCGTACATTGTTGGAAGAGGAAGTAGTCTTACCAGGCTGACCAAGCATGTTAGTAAATCTGATGTCAGAACTTATGGTTGGATATAACTCCATCCAAGAGGACATTGAATGTAACTGCCCATGTTCATGTAATTCATCCAAAAATATCTGCAAAATAGGATGTAATAAAAAAGTCCATTTTCACATATTTGAAAAGGGACTTGACCTATTTTATGTTACAAAAATTAAAAGAAATATTAACTTGAAATTGAATGATTTGTTAAAACAAAATTAAAAACATAACATCTGTCCCTAAGGTACCTCATCCCCTCTTTTAACATTCCAATTACATTTTCTTACTTATTAAAATGTGTCCCTCCTTTCATTGCTATCTGGGAAAACTGACTTATTACACAGAGAAATATATCATTATCAGTATATTTTAGAAAGGCCAAGAAAGTGTCTGGAATATTTCAAAGCTGTTAGATTTTAAAATTTAAGATGTTTCACCAACCTGAAAAGATTCTCTATTCTTACGTTGTCGCCGCCTTTCCCTAAGCAAACTCTTCTGTTTTTCTTCTTCCTCTTCTTTTTCCAAAGCCCTGATGTGTTCTTCAAAACAAATCAGTGCATCTTCTTTATCCATGTCTACAAAGGAGAAAAGGTTTCTGACTGACAATTTCTTACCTGACAATTGTTAGCAGCTTCTCTCTTCATTCATCCAATTATCCATGAGTGATGAATGATAGAAGCTTCACAGAAGAATTGGTAGAATATTGAAGGATTCTAGTCATTAATAAAAACAATATTCCTATAAAGAGCACTGGGATAAAGGAAAAAGCACTTGTGCCATCTCCAACAAGGAAGACTGCATAAGGTATATTTGTCAAATACTTGAATAAATTTGCAGAACCATGGATTTGCAGACAATATGGGACCAACTATATTGTAACCATGTTGGTCGTAGGATAGGGGAGAGAAGGAAGGTGGGTGAGATAATATCTTTTATTGAACCAAATTCTGTTTGAGAGAGACACACTAGCTTCTGAGCCACAGAAAAAATCTGAAGAGCTCTGACTCAAAAGCATGTCTCTCTCACCAACTTGTCTCTCTAATATGGGACCAACACAGTCTTTACAGACAATAAATAACCTTTTTACACTTTCTAGTGTAAACACACTGAGTTGGAGACTGAGACATTGACCACACTACCTAGTTTCTTGTATCACTTTCTATCTCACTTTGGTCTAATTGAGGGCCACGTATAGGAAGTGGCTGCTGTATTTGATATTACAGCTCCAAATCCCAGAGTGGAGAACAACCTAGCAAGGGACGGTGATTTGGTCTTCATTGCCTTTCAACTGAGATTACCAAAATATATTACTCATATTGTGGGGCCAATTCCCAAAAAGCTATCTGAATTGAACAGAGCAGACTCATTTCACATAACTAACTAATGATAGCTGTCTTGTAACTTGTTACTGATTAGACAAAAATTATTCAACTTCTTATCACTAAACCAGTCCCATGCATCTTCGACTTAGAGAGATTCCTACTTTTTATCCCTCCTTACTCTGAAGTTCTTCATCCTCTGCAAATGTTGGATTATCCATCAGATACTGTTGGGCTTCCGACCAAGTAGTAGAGTATGTTACATTAGCCATGTTGTCTAATATGTTTTTCAAAGCCTCCCAATTCCTTTTTCGTAACTGCTTGGCTTGTTCCTAAAAAGTGTAGTCAGGGCAAAAGAAGTCAGCCAACAATGCATTAATTTTCCTGAACTACCACATCAGATAAGATCAAGTATCACTCCCTGATTATATACAAAATGTGACAAATTTTGGACACATATATAGTAAATGATTCATGTCGATGTTAAGATCGCTTGAATCCATGGCCATACCACCTTGTACATACTCATGTCACGTTTAAAGGTGGCCAAAACACTCAATTTTCAGTATTTCAAAATGTGCCTTTTTTCTGATTCAACAACTAACAGCCCAGAAACTGACAAGAATCATATGAACTTCAGTTAGCAGCTGCCAGGGTTTCCAGGGTCCATACCAGCTCCCACACGCAGTCTGCCTCCAGCTAGAGACCCCAGACCTGCTAAATTCCCGATGATACAATTGTGGCCCTCTTTCTAAAGAAGGATGGAGACTAACACACAAAACATTCTAATCTCAGGTTAGCTAACCTGCAGCAGCTAAATCAGGTTAAAATAGCAGAGAAAATATAGCAATGCTGCTGTTAAAGTCAGATTAGCAGCTCAAATTAAAGCCTGTAAAGCAGAGTTACGCAAAATATGGCCCATAAGCTGGGACTGGCAGAAACCTCCCTGACTGCTGCACCACATGCCACTCAAAGTGGCCAGCTGCATCTCTGCATGCTTCACACTGCTCCCACACCCAGCACAATCTTACAGCCCCCATTGGCCGAAAACTGGCCAATGGGAGCTGCTTGGGTCATGCTTGCAGTGCATGCAACCCTTGATGCCTGCCCTCCCAAAAGGGATGTGCAAAGGTGGATAAGGGCCTCCCACCTAGTTGCTTTGAGTGGCGTGGGGGAACGTGGCAGGCAGGGAGCCTGCCTGAGAGTCCCACTGAGCTGTTGGCCAGGAGCCACTGAATATAAGTACTACCTTGCACCTCAACTCCCTGCCTCAGGTCACAAACCAAACACTCTGTCCCCCCTGGACCTCAATCCCTTGCCCCCCATCGCTACCCCAGGACACAACCCTCTCCCAGATCCTGCATTCACCCATCCTACACACATGCTCCAAGTAAAAATCCTCTTCTATATCCATACCTCTTCCCACCACCGGTCCTCCACCCCCCCCCACCCCAGGTCACAATCCCCTCTCAGACCTACACCTCCTCCTATACCCCTCCCTCAAGGTCAGAATCCTATCCTGCACCCATACTTTTCATATACCTCCTCTCAAACCCAGCATCCCTATCCCTTTGCTTCAGGTCACTGCCCCCTCCTTCACCCAATCTTCCTCCAAGACCTCCACCTCTTCCTGCCCTTGACCAATTACCAAATTCTTGGAGTAACCCCCTATCAAAAATTATTGCCCTACCCTACTATCGGCAACCTGAGATTTAACTTAATGAGTCAAAAGCCAAGTTTCTGTGTTTTCACTGTTATTTTAGCTTCCAAGTTAGCTCAAGTTAACCAACCTACTCGAGCTGTGTAGATCAGGGGCTGGAGTAGAGGCTGACTCTGGCTGAGAGGCACTTATCTAGGCAGCTCCCAGCCAGCAGGTCCCTCAGGCAGGCTCCCTCCCTGCCTACACACTGAAAGCAGATGGCTGCAGGGGCCATGTGATTCTCGGAGTGCCATGAGCTGAGGAAGGTGGATAGGGGAGGGGGAGGGGGGAGAGAGAGAGAGAGAGAGAGGACTCTGCATACTATCTGCCCTGCAAACACAGCCCAGTCAGCTTCCACTGGACAAGTTTCCAGCCAAAGGGAGCCATGAGATTGCACTCTGCCCCTCCCCTAGCACAAAGCCTCCCCCTCCACAGCTTGCAGCAGTGATCAGAGAAGAACATGGCCCCCACAGCCAGCTGCTCCGAGCAACGTGTGGGGCGGTGAAGGCAGGAATCCTGCCTGAGGTTTCCACTAAGCCACAGACTAGATCCAATGGCTTGGCAGGTTGGATAGGACAGGCCGTATTTTGTCTGCCCTGGTGTAGGCAGACTTTAAGGGATAGGTCCCCAAACTGTGGGACACATCCCCTTAGGGGGCATAAATGAAGAAAAGTGAGAGGGAGCACCACCCAGATTTGCCTCAGCTCTGTCCCAGCCCTGCACCCAGCTGAAGTGTGTTTCCACAACTGGCTAGGGCCTTGCTGTCAGACCTCACCATGACCCAGCTGCAGCTCTATTCCTAGCCCTAGCCCCAGCCTCAGCCCTTCAATATATTTCTCTTCCCAGCCCAGTAGCAGAGTCACACCTGGCCTGGCTAACTGCACAGCCCAGTTGTAGCTCCACTATCTCATTTGTCCCCGTCTTAGCCCTTGGCTGCAATGCCGTCCGTAGCCCTGCTCCTGGCCCCAGACTCATAGCCCCAGGGCCGGCTTTAGGCCGATTCCCCTGAATCAGGCCCTGCGCCTAAGAGAGGGGTCCCGCTCCCGGGCACGTGGCGCATGCGCGGCTCACCCCCGCGAATCAGGCCCCGCACCTCCTAAAGCCAGCCCTGAATACCCTCCAGCCTTGGACCCCATATCCCTGTTCATCCACCTCCCCTTGTGGCTGCATCCCCAGCCCCAGCTTAGGGAGTGGAGTGTACACAAAAAGAAGTGGAGGGAAGCACAACCCTCTGAAGTTTTGGGACCACTATCCTAAGGATATATTTACACAGCAGCTGGGCAGTGAATTCCCAGCTCAGGCTGAAATACAAGTTAACTGTGATCAAACGAACATGCTAAAAACAGCACTGTGGACATAAAAGAACAAACAGCAAGCTCATGCTAGCTGCCTGAATACAAAGAGAAAAGTCAGATTCAAAACAATGTAGAAAAGGTTCAACGGGTTCAGATTAATGTGTCTTTTGTGAGATAAACCTTTGAAACTAAAATCATTACCTTTTCTTTTTTAGACAAAAAGAACAAGACATCTTCATAAATTTCAAGACGATCACGCTCGGATATTGCATTCCAGACCTCCATCTCACCAAACATTTGTTCAGCTTTTCTGTATATAAAAAAAAATTCACCAAAAGAGATATATACTCACTTATTGTCACACTGATTTCAATGTAGCAGTGTTGGTCTCTACAAAAAGCTTCAACTTGTTGGTAAACATAAGTCAAAGGCAAGACTTCAATAAAAAAATAAAGCCATCCAGTATGTACCTTTTGCCTAGCCTCACATATTGAAAGGATCCATGAAAACTAAACTAGAGAAACTGAGATGTAAGGGATAGCAAGAGAACTGTACAGGTGTTTGGGGGATGGTAGGGTGTTACTTGTAAAACGGTTTGGGACTAGTGGAAATAGCTTGGCCTGGAGGACTCTGTTTGGGCATTTAGGTGAGGTCCTTAACACCAATGGTACATCATCACTCGCCCTGGTTCTCAGTTGACTGCCAAAGTTGAACTGGTGCAAATTTGTGATTGACACTAGCATTGGTTTAGAGTGCTGCTTACAACAGATGAGCCATATTTAACATGACAGAAAAGAATATCCATACAAAAAAGTTTCACTGTTTAAACTTAATTGAAACACTGCACCTTTAGTTAAACCATTGCAATTTTATCTGTTCACCAAGCCTTCGTCTGAAGGACTACAGTGTGCTGTTGATGCTGAGTGAACTACAGCTTAAGCTGTGCCGCTGCCTCTGGCATCATGAGATCCCTCGGAGTCAGTCACTGCAGGAGTGGTCAGAACAGCTCTTAGAGAACCAGATGCAAGTGCGATGCCACGAGTCACACTAGCAGTGCCAGGACTCTGAGCAGTGCTGTAATGATCATGAGGGTGCCGGAGCAGAAGCAAGGGGATCCAATATGGCCAACTTTCCACATAAAAGTTGCCAGGATGTAGGAGGCTTGTCCAGAAAGGCCCTGAGCATCTCAAATGTGTTTTCTGTGGAGGACGGGCCCAAGGGCACTCCCTCTGCCCTGGGGGAATCCAGGACAATCATCCTTGCCACACGAATGGATCCCCACACCTCCTGCTGCGGGAATGAAGATCCTCAGTACCCACCAACACGGATGGTGTGCAGCCTGGAGATGCTGACAACATAGGTTTGACCGCTTTGAAAAACAGTGCCAGGGAGTAAGACTGGCACTGGATCAAGGTCTTCGGGGACAACTGGTGCCAAGAGTCCTTATTAGGTGCCTGTCTTGGGACCAAAGGTGGACTGTGGTGTGCTGTGGACTGAGGCGCTTGGTGCTGGGCCCTAGTGCTGCACCCTCAATGCAATAGGAGCTGCTTCAATCAGAGGTCCCACTGTTTCTGAGTACAAGATTTAAAAGCCTTGCAGATCTTGCACTTATCTGCTTGATGAACTTCCCCTAGACTTTGCCATGCTCTAGGTCTCTAGAGGGACACGGGCAAGATGAGCAAACTCCTTCAGCAGTTGGCACCTCCCTGTTGCTACAAAGCCAACTACTAATGATTAACTATTGCTAAACAAACTAACAAAGCTAGGTATGAATGGCACTTGCTATACAAGAGTGCCCAAGTTCCAATACGGGTCACTGACAGTAAGGAGGAACTGAGGTGTAGGTGGGTCAGCAGGGTCAAATATAGGGCATTGCACCAGCGCCACTGCACGGGGCTCCACAGATGACCTGACTAGTAGCAGATAGGGATAAACTTTCCAACAGCTGTGCACATGGCAGGTGTACACTTCAACTGGAACACATGTGAGCAAGCACTCAAAGATGAATGTTTGGAATTGAAGAAATTAAAAATGCCACAGGATTCAGCAATGCTTTTGCTTTACTCTGTAAAATGCTTTATAAAAACTGTGCTCCACACTGATCCTGGAGTCAACTGTTTCCTGTGAATACTAAACCAAGAGTCACACTCTCACACATCAATTCATAATATCAAATTGAAAAGAAATAATCAAAACACAGCTGAAGGGGAAAGAATAATTTTATGTTAATAACTTATCACAAAAACTACTGGACTAATTCATAGGCTACAGAAATAAGTTACCAGCAATTATTAGGATGTGGGGTCTATCAGGTAATCATGATTAGTTGCAAATGCCACAAAAAATACATGCAAAAGTTTACTAGGTAAGGCTACCCACTCAGAAGTGGTCAGTAGGAATAGTTTCCTGACCCTTCCCCACCAAGTTCTGTCTATTGTTTCCCACTTTTTTTTTGCCCTTTGCCAAAAGCAATATTAAATGAAAAAAACGTAAGCAAGCACTCTTACTGTTGCAAAAATCGTTAAACCCATACAACATATAAACTAATAGAGTTCAAACCGCAGCTATTAAAAAAGTCAATTAGATTAACAATATTAAGGGTGACAATGGATTTTGTGCTACGTTATGATTCTCCACCAATACAATTTTATATAGGAGCCAATTTCTTTTGGTATTTCTATAGGTAGTGGTGACAACTACAGTGCACCATATATGAAAGGGAACTTTATAAAACAAAGTTAATCTTAAAAACAAAATTAAAGCAATACTTTGGATTAGGCAAAAGGTTGGCTGAAAACAGAAAATAAAGCAAGACAAGTTGCGACACTGCAGTTATCCGTCAGGTGATATGAACAAGACACAAAAGGCATGTCTACACTAAAGCTTGCTGAGTGACAAAATGGGGTATAAATCTACAGTGCTAAAGCATACCGTGTTCAATGTATCCATGCCGATCCTGCTGCTGTGCACAAAAAGTTTCCTAGTGAGCACTGCCTATCAATGTGCACTAAGAAACTTTTAAGAGTACAAAAGCAGGATCCACACAGATAATTACTGCACAGCCTGCTAGAACTTTGCACATTTATACCCTCTTGCCTTGCAGTAATTGCTTGTGTAAACATGCACTAAAAATTCTATTTTCTTGAACAAAAGATGAAATTTAACACATCAGCACCATATAATACCATTAAAAATGTAATTTATAGGAAAACTGTGTTTATTTTTAAAAACAAATATGAAGTGTTTCTTAAATGTACTACCCCATCATGTTGCAGTCTAAGGCCTGGGCCTACAACAAATAATTAGATCAGTATAACTACACCACTCAGGGATGTGAAAAATGCACACTCCTGAAAAACACAATTAAACCAACCCAAACACCAGTGTAGACAGTGCTAGATCAATAGGAGAACCTCCCTTATGGGGAGGTGGATTACCTACTATGACAGGAGAAATGTAGGTAGTTTCTTGGTTGCAGGACTTGCTTATCTGCACTTAGACTAAACATTATACAAAGGTTCATGTTTGCCAGAGACTAAGTCAAAGGAATTTAAGATTGAATCTTAAATGGTGATGGGTCTTTGTTCTACATTAAGCTGATCTTACTTGTATCTTGTTGTAGATGTCATCTTTTCATGGTTTTCAAGAAAACGTTGAAAGGATTCTTTAGCTTCTTTGTATTTTGATCTTGCTTCTTCTTTTTCCTCTTTTTCTGTTTGGACTTTATAAGCATTGAAGGCTTGCTTTTTTTCACTCAACTTTGCCAATGCACTGCACATCAAGAAAAGCAAGAATTTAAGTGCGCAAAATGCGAATTAGAAAATAAAACAATACAAACTTATTTACATACAGAATAAAATACAAACACAAATGTTAACAGGTGTGGTGAAAAAGTAACATCTATATTACAAAAATAATTTAATAGTCAGGCTAATTTACCTGTTTTCGTGTCTTTAAATAAAGTCTATTAAGCCAAAGTAACTTTATTTGTAACATGCTACCAGAAAGCCTCATAAGAGATCTCACTTTCAGGCTGTGTTTTGGACATTCAATGTAGACCCAAATTTTTAAGTCTCTTCAGCAATGACAGCAACGAGTTCTTTTGAAAATATGGCCCAAAAGGTTTGCAGCATCTCCAGAAACTCACTCCCTGTTTCAGGGACGATTTTTCAAAAGATAAAGACTATCTATTAGTTTAACTCTAGTTACTACTGCTAATACATCTTCATGATAAGATCATGTACCATTCCACTGTTCAGTAGTGAACACATTCTGCTCCCACGTTATTTTGCTACTTCAGTAAGAGGTCAGATCCACACACCCAAAAAAAACAAATACCAAAAAAAAAGCCACAATTAGCTTGGTGTAGGAATCATCCCTATTCACTCAAATCTATTAGGCTATGTCTATACAGCAATGTTATTTTGGAATAACTGATGTTATTCCAAAACAACAAAGTCCATGTCCACTCAGCAAGCAATTATTTCAACATAAGGTTGAGCTAGAGGACTTCTTATTGAGACTCCTGTAACCCTCATTGTACAAGGAGTAAGAGAAGTCAGAGGAAGAGTGCTCTCTCTAAGACTTCCTACTATGTACAGTGCCAAAAGAAGCTGTTTCAACTTAAGTTGCATAGCTTATTTCGGCTTTAGACCTGCTGTGTAGACACACCCTTTCATTGTTCAATATAACACTGATGAGGGCAAAGAACGAGAACACACACACATACACACACACACTCTCACTCCACAAGAGAAGAGATGAAGCAGTACCTGTATCTAGGATCATTAATGATCATTTTCATAGCTTGCTCCCATGAGGCATTGGATGGTACACGCTGTGGAGACATTAAATCAAATAACGTAACCACTAGATTTGGTATCAACATAGTAGTGCAATGCAGTTTTCTTGGAAATAGTAATTAAGAATAACAGACTAGCTTGAAGTATTTAATTCATGTGGTGAGGCATGGCAGACTTCTCATCAATGTTAACAAGAGATCTGTAGAAAGACTATTCTCCAACATAATTATGTATGTTAATAAAAAAAGGTGATGTTTTCATAAGTCAAGAGAGATACAGGGCACTTTTAGGATAATCGCTATTTCTACAGTTTGATTCTCTTTCAGGAACTCTTCTACTTCATTTGGACACTATAGTGTTGGGCACACTATAGAAAGCATACCTCATACTCTAAAGGGCTCTATATTTTTTACCTTACAGTGAAGTAATAATGCATTTATAACATTCACTGAAATTTCACTAATAATGTGGAATGTAATAATGGAATTATGACTTCACAAAGGATGGACTGTATTGCCTAAACACATACAGCTTTTGTAATTGTAATAAGTAGGGTTGCCAGATGGTTTAACCAAAAATACCGAATACCTCGACCTCCAAAAAAACACTGGGGAAAAAATTCTGTTGAGGGGGAGACCAAACTTTGGGGGGGGAGGGGAGAGGAAGGACTCCAAGAGTTATTAAGCATCCAAAAAATTTAAAAAAAAAATAAGGTCAGCATTAAAACAGAATGGCCCTTTCAGTGCGTGCAGAGTCAGAATAGGGATAGGAACAGGGGAGCGGTTAAGCACTAAGACCCAGGTAAAGCATTGCTTCCCCTTGGTCTTTAGGCTTTTTGCCAGGGGCCATTTTTTTTTCTTGATCAAGCCAAAATGCAGCTTCCATGCGGAACCAAGTAAGCGGGAGGGGGAGGGGGGAGGGGGGGGAGGAGAGAGAAATCGAGGTAGGCATGGGGGCTGGGGTCAGGGAGCTGAGGGTGTTGGGAGCTGGGGGAGTTCCGGCCGGGGGGAGAGGGGAGGCCGGGCGCTGAGTGTTTGTAGGGTTTCCAGGTGCCCGGCATTTTCGCCTCCTGTCCGGGGAAAAATTCAGAAAATACCGGACATTTTAGGTGTCCAATATTTTCCAAATGTTTTTACACTGGATAGGAGGCAAAAATACCAGACTGTCGAGGTAAATACCGGACACCTGGCAACTCCAGTAGTAAGGTAAAGGAAATGGATTTTTGTTGACTACAAATGTATTTTAATGCAAAAGTCACTCTTAATTTGCACTTAAACATAGTGACAGCTTTTGCCTCGGACATTTTAGGTGTCCAATATTTTCCAAATGTTTTTACACTGGATAGGAGGCAAAAATACCAGACTGTCGAGGTAAATACCGGACACCTGGCAACTCCAGTAGTAAGGTAAAGGAAATGGATTTTTGTTGACTACAAATGTATTTTAATGCAAAAGTCACTCTTAATTTGCACTTAAACATAGTGACAGCTTTTGCCTTTGTCAGTCAGCAAGCATCCTTATAACTTTCTACCATATCTTCATATGGCAGATCGAAGTAATAAATTCCTAGATTTTGGACAAAATGTTTAAAATTGCATTACACTGGGTAAAAAACAGAAGAAGAGCTGTGAGCCGCCTGATTAAAACACAAATATATTTTTTAAAAGCATAGGCAATATATAAAAATTGCCTAAACAAGTACACTTCCTACTGGAGTAACTAAGAAAAATGAATGTTGGAAGGTCAATCTTTTTAAAAAAAAAAAAAAAAAAATCCGTAATTTCTCCGGCAAATAATTCTGGAAAGTTTGAAGAGTAGTTAATTCAATTAAAAAAAACACCTTTTCTTTCAACAGCTCTTTAAATGCTTGCTTTGCTTCTTCTTTAGTATTCCATGTATATGTTTTTTTAACTGGTTGAGTGTCCTCTTCCTCTTTTTTGGGAGTAACACTATAAGGATTAAAGACAAAATATGACATGCCTTAGGTAAATACACTCTTTTTCAGTTAAACCAAGAAGAGTTATCAAATTTAAGAGATGTCTAATTAACAAGCATCTCTTGAGAAATACCTTTCAAAAAATATAAATTAATAAGATAGAAATACTTAATATAAAAATTAAAATTTGCTAGTCTAAAATAAAATTACACACATTATGAGAAAAGCCCAGAAACTAAGACTATCTAAACAAGTCATTTTAAAAATACCTCCCTCTTTAGAATAGTAGTGCTTCTATTGCAATCTAACCCTAACCCTTGATTTAAGTTAGGGGTAGGGGAAGAAAACAGGGTATTAATTGTATTAATCTTGAGTTTGCAATTACTCCTTACAGTGTCTAAAGCAACTGATCTTGAAAGTACACTATAAAACTTGGCTGTTCTCACAGGCTTTGGTGATGGATGGAAGGCAGAGACTAGTTGCAGTCAATTGAGAAGGTGAGATACCAACTTTGTTGGGTTTACTTGATTTGGATTTTAAGCTGGGGACAACAGCCTTTTGGGAGGGGGCTATATTTTTGTTTTTAGTTTTGTATTTTTTTAAAAAAATGTAAATTCTAAATTATATACAAGCATCTCAGAAGTGAAGTTACCTGTGCACATTCTCAAATATTTAAAATGAGTCTAACTCACTTTTCACAATGACAGTCTGTATGATATGTTTTCATATTGTTTATCTAACATTTAATTTTTAAAATGTAGGAAAAGAAACAATCCCCAATTCAATCCCCAATGTGAAGGCCCTATGAGAAAAATGAGGAGGCTTTTAAAGAATAATTTAAAAAGCATTTGGACATTGTTTCTTTTCTTAACCGTTTCTCTCCACTAGCTTTGCTGTATTCCCTCCCTCCCCCCTAAAAACAAAAAATGTAGCCACTTCCAATATAACTACAATGCTACAACTCTTGAGACTAAAAAGCCTCTGATTAGGGAACTGTATTCAACTCAAATTGCTGCATTTTACTTACTCTGCTGCAGCCTCTTGTTTAGAAGTTTCCTCTACAGTGTTAGTGACAGCTTCTACATTCTGCTCTTGTACAACAGGAGTGGTGGTGAGAGCGGTGGTTGTTGTGGTGGCAGTGGCAGTGGTGGTAGTTGTAGTTTGCTGCACTTGTTCCTCAGCTGTTGTAGTTACTGTACTTTCATTTTCTACAACAGGGGCAACTGTAGAAGCTTCAGCTTCAGGAGCAGCTGCTGCAACAGGGATTACCGTGGGCGGGGGGGGGTGGGGTGGCGGTGGTGGCGGCGGCGGCAACAGTGGTGCTGGCGGTGGCAGTATCTGTAGTTTCTGTTGTAACAGCTGGAGCAGACGATGTTGAAGTTGATTCGTCTGGTTTACCACTGAATATATGAAATAAGAAAATCAAAGTAAGAGTTTTACAGTCATGTTAAGTTCAATTAAATTTCAGTGAAAATATTACAATTTACATAAGTTTCTAAGGACATCGTCAAGAGTTTTGAGTCTACCATGTTTCCCCTCCCCACACTCCCTTCCCCCCCTCTCCCTCTCTCTTACACACACACACACACACACACACACACACACACACACACACACACACACACACACACACAAAAAGATCAAAAATAATTTCAAAAGGAGGGAGTTCTTAAGAACTGTATGGCTTAAAAAATGCAGGGACAAATGTTAGAAGATTTCTAAATTAAGAGCACTTCTAAATTAAATAATGAAAATATACTCTCATACTCAAGTGTTAAAACATTTTACAGACTGAAAGCAAGCTAGAAGTTTATTTTAAGAGATCAAGATTATATCAGTTTATGGAAAAATAGGCATTCTTACTACCAATTTAAGAAAAAAAAAAGTATTTTTAGACACATACCTGTTTTCTTCAGCTTTAATCATCGCTGTAAAGAACAAAAGAAGAAAATATTTCTTAAAAATGCAACTGTTCGCATGAAGCTTACATTTGGAAAAGAAAACACAAGCTTTTTTTAAGGAAGTTGGTCAGGTATATAAAAATAGATCACACTATTGTTGATATTCATGATGTTAAGTATTCTTGTTTCAATAATTTAAAAGATAGGTTAAAGATAGATTAAAATGAAATGATACAAGCATCAAATCAAAACACAGCAACTACTACTTTTTCTTTTTTGTTCAAACAAAAGTACATATTTTCAGTTTCATCATGCAAAAAAGGCTACTTTCAATACAGACTATGGATGTGAATGGTTAACTGGAAAGCCTCATCCCACTCCAGCCTGCCAAAGAAGTCCCTACCCACGGTGAGTATATGCTCAAGACCGTCCCTGTTTAATTGGTTAACAGTTAAACATGAAGTTTAAAACAGTTAACTGAGCAAACAGTATTTTTACATCCCAAATACAGGCAAATAAGGTTTACTCAACTGCATCTTACCTATTCAGTCATCTTTTTCTGTCTGATTTTTAAAATACCAATGTTGCTTTCCTAATATTTAGAATCTTTCCCTTCTCTTCACCCATTTGTACTATTATATTACCTTAGCTTCATTAAAATATTTTTTTAATATTTTGTAATTTCTTCACCATGGCTTTGATTCACTGAAATTAACAACCATATTTTACTCCTAAAATAAACACTAAGGCAGCATTACAGTCCACCAAAACAAACTATAATATTGCATTTGTGGAATATCAAGAAGAAATCTAAAGGAGATCTAGATTCACATTCTTTCAAATCATATGATCTTATGTAAATAAGTGTTTCTCCTCCTCTCCATCCTACCATCTCCCAAAATTAAACAGATAAAGTTAAGATAAAACTTTACACATGTCCTCTGAATGTTTGAATGCTTTTGACTGATAAATTAGCTGTTGCCAATAGTCATGTGTTGAAGCTATGCACAATAATTGATTAAATGTTGGCAGGGCAGTAGAGAAAGATTATCAACATAATTTACAAACACAGATTTATGCATAATTTTGACTGATTTTCAACTAAGATAGCTAAACACCATTATTATTTCACACACACTGAAGAAGATAACATTAAATTAAATTTAATCTTTGAGACTTTGATCATAATTAAAATAAGAGATCAGTTCTGTTCAGTAATTATTTTATATTGCTGGGGCAAAGCTCCAGCACTCTTCTGATTTTAATAGGAAGCACTATTCCTGCACTAAATTAACAGTGCCATTCTTCATTTGAAAAAAATATTTACATACACAAAATGCTTAATTTTCACTATTGTTACCTTCAAGATCTTCAAGCTCTTTAGGTTTTGCCCAGCGTGATTCTTTTGTTTGGGAATTATAATAATAAGGCTTTCCAGAGTCAGATTTGTATTCTTTCCAAGGACATTTAGATAACAATTGCTAAAGAGTGCAAAACCATTTGTTAAAAATCTTATTATAATGATATATTAAAACTATTAAAATATCCTAAAACCACCCAAAATCAGGCTTAAAATAAATTAAAAAAAAAAAAACCCTTAAAACTTATCAATGCACATACAAAGAAAATATTTTCTTAAGAAAAATAGCAAAATGTAAAGCAGATGTTACACAGTGACCTCAAAAGCACATCAATGAGTATCGTGAAGAATCCACACTTCAGGCAAGTAGTGTTTTATGAAGACTTGAAACAATACACCTTTTTAAATCTTCACCGTAAACATTTACAACAGACCTTTTCATTTAATTATAATTGGTAACATTGTTTTTGTAGGTGTTTACAGCCATAAATTACATTGAAATAAAAATTCTAATACATATCTCATGGACAGTATACTGAACTTATTTTAAGTCACTTGTTCTATATCTTTCCATGAACTTGGTTTACCTCAGCAGGTGTTTTAAGATCATCTGGCTTCTCCCATGTAGATTGTTTTGTTTCAGTATTATAATAATAAGTTCTTCCATCTGGTGATTTATGTTCAGTCCACATAGATTTCTGAAAAAAAATAAAACAGACTATCAATGAGAAACAAGAAGCAATAAAAATATTATAGAATGCTACAAAAAACTCTACAAAAGTTAAATACAAGCAGAAACTGCGGAAACCTGTTTAGAAGGATCTTCATTTATAGAACTGCTGGTTGTGGTGCTTTGCTGGGTTGCACAAACTACTGGATGTGTGATCTGAGGGGAAAACACAATTCTGAGTAAGTTTTTTTTAAGAATGTGCATTTTAAATATATCTAATAAAAATTTTAAACAGAATAATAGCATACAAAAACCAAAAAATGATTCAGATTTACAAATTTAAAAATCAAAAAGGAGTCCGATATAAAGTGGAAACTAGGTCAAATTACAAAGGATGAATATAAGCAACAACGCAAGTATGGGTAAGATTAGAAAGGCAAAGGCACAAAATGAGCTCAATCTACCTAGAGACATAAAGGGTAACAAGAAGAGATTCTACAAATACAGGCAGTCCCCGGGTTATGTACAAGATAGGGACTGTAGGTTTGTTCTTAAGTTGAATTTGTATGTAAGTCGGAACTAGCGTCCAGATTCAGTTGCTGCTGAAACTGACCAGCGGCTGACTACAGTAGTCAGTTTCAGCTACTGGTCAGTTTCAGCAGCGGCTGAATCGGGGAAGCCGGGCGCAGAGCAGCTCCAACTGTCCGGCTGGCCCGAGCCCCTCCGGGGTCCCGATG